GGGAAACTCATGGAGGTGGTTTAATGAGACACTTTGGAGTTTCTAAGACGTACAAGGTAATGCAAGAACACTTCCATTGGCCACACATGAGAAGAGATGTCGAGCGACTATGTGAACGTTGCGCGACTTGTAAGCAAGCTAAGGCTAAGGTTCAACCCCACGGTTTGTATACCCCTTTACCTATTCCTTTGCATCCTTGGAATGATATATCTATGGATTTTGTGGTAGGATTGCCTAGGACTAGGGCCGGTAAGGATTCTATCTTTGTGGTTGTTGATCGCTTCTCTAAAATGGCGCATTTTATTCCATGTCATAAAACCGATGATGCATCTCATGTTGCTAGCTTGTTCTTTAGAGAAGTTGTTCGTTTGCATGGCATTCCTAAGACCATAGTTTCTGATCGTGATACTAAGTTCCTTAGTTATTTTTGGAAAACTTTGTGGTCGAAGTTAGGGACTAAATTGCTTTTCTCTACTACATGTCATCCGCAAACCGATGGTCAAACTGAAGTTGTTAATCGAACCTTGTCGACTTTGTTACGTGTGCTCATTAAAAAGAACCTTAAAACTTGGGAAGATTGCTTGCCGCATGTTGAATTTGCTTATAATCATTCGATGCATTCCGCGACTAAGTTTTCTCCTTTTGAAATTGTTTATGGGTTCAATCCCACATCTCCTTTGGATCTAATGCCTTTACCTTTGAGTGTAAGATCAAGTCTCGATGGCAAGAAGAAAGCCGATTTAGTGCAACAGGTTCACAAGAAGACTAAGGAAAATCTTGAAGCCCGGACGAAGCTTTACGAGAAGTATGCGAACAAAGGCCGAAAAGAAGTCATCTTCAACGAAGGCGATCAAGTGTGGGTTCATCTTAGGAAGGAACGTTTCCCGGAAGAAAGATCATCTAAGCTAATGCCAAGAATCGATGGACCGTTCAAAGTGCTTAAACGGATCAACAACAACGCCTACAAACTCGATCTACAAGGTAAGTATAATGTGAATGGTAGCTTCAATGTTTCTGACCTTCAACCTTATTTTGCAGATAATTCGGATTTGAGGTCAAATCCTTTTCAAGTGGGAGAGGATGATGAGATCATGGCCAACCCACTTGAACCACACGAAGAACAGCTTGTACCGGAGGAAGCATTGATCGTCCCAGCGGGTCCTCTAACAAGATCAAGAGCCAAGAATTTCAACCAAGCCATCAATGGATTACTTAAGGAGTTAAACAAGAATCAAGAAGACGTCGTTCAATCCTCACTCATAGTGATCACGGCTCAAGAGGATCGGTAAAGGGTTAAGTGTTGCTTATGCACTCTTTTTCCCTTGTCAAGTTTTGTCCCAATGGGTTTTCTTGACAAGGTTTTTAATGAGGCTTAAGTAACATTTTCAAGCCCCTTTATCAATCCAATTCGTGGTCCAAGGCCCACTCACAAAGCCTTGGCCCATTTTCCCTTTTCTCTTCAAACTTTGCATTTATTACTTGTTGTTATTTCCAAGACTCTTGTATGAGCTTGCATGAGTGTAATTTACAAGACACTTGTGCATGCTCTTGCATGTTTTCTCTTGTCTTCTCTCCTCTCCTTCGTCCTCCCTTCTCTATATAAACTCCATGTATCTCTCATTTGCAAAACATCAAACATTTTATTCTAAAACTCTCTCTTTACTTGTTTGATCCGAAAAGTGTGTAATATCTTTTCAACTTGTTTTCTTCTTAGTGTGTAATATCTAAGTTGGATCCAAGCTTGTAGTCTAAGAGTTTCTCATCCCTCTTGGA